CTATCTTTAATCTTTACACTATGTCCGAAATATTCTGCAGTTTGACAAAATTCTGTGCAGCGAATTCAGAGAAGTTGCGCTGACAAACTTAAAATATGATTATTAGTTATTTACTGTTAAACATGTCCAACATTTCTTACTTTATCAACTGTGGCGACGTCTTTGAACACAACAAATCCAAATCCTCTTGATCGTCGAGTTTCCAAGTCCTGTTTTAAGACACAATTTTCTACTTCTCCAAACTTGCTGAAGTAGTCTTTTAAGTCTTCTGCAAATTTATAAGAACAAGGTTTATTTCACATGACAGTATTTAAAATATACATATTAAAATACTTCATCAAACAATTCAAATGAATAACTTTTTTTTTAAAATAGTTACTTACTTTGTGAGGTTTCCCAACTGAGATTTCCAACAAATATTTTTCTGAAAATGTCAAATTATTGAAAGTTATGAAAATGGTCAACAAAAATACATTTCTCATCACACTACATTACTCTACTTATAAGGATCAGCAATCTGCTGGCTCCCATTTTGAGATATAAATTGAAATTTGAGGGGTTCTTTAAAAAGTTATCAATTAAGCTTGACACTGAAATTTTTAAATTCTTGGCCAATACCACAAAATCCAGTCCTAAAAAAACTGGGAAAAAACACTGAGATTGGTATACCATAGTTACCAAATATTATTTCTATCATTTAGTGAATTTTCTTTGCACTTTATTAATTGAATTGTGAACTAGCCAAATTCTATTGAAAAGTCTTTTGATAATGAAACGTATGACAAAGTATTAATATGTATACGCTGGTTATGGTGGTAAATTTGCATGTTAGGTCAAGGATAGTGATTTTCTGGTCAGGTCTACTATTAGACAAATTGTCAACTGGTCTCTAGTCATGAAAGTAAATATTATGCCCCATTTGAGTCTTGTTCTGGTTTTTAAAAAAGAAAGAAGGGTGTGAAATATAATCCTTTAAATATTTATTCAAACTAAAAATCATTGGTAATGTGCTCAGGTCCAGGCCAAAGACTATTTCTACCTACGTAGCTATTAATAGCTACCTAGGTATTTAAAGCTACCCAAGGTAGCTATTTTTACCTACTTTTTATAATTTCTGCATTTTGCGGCACAAAGACCAAACGGCGCAACATAGTGAATACCATATCTTTTGATACAGTCACACTAATGATGAATACGACAAAATTTTGGCCAAAAAATTATTACTTCCTGAATCCGCAATATTACATTAGTTTCTATGCAAAATTGATAATATTCGAAGTTTATCATTTTTTGGCCAAATTTTTGTTACTTCCATTATCAGTGTGACTGTATCAAGAAATTTTGTGCTCACCATGTTGCGCCGTTCCTGCATTTGGCCACAAAATGCAATTAAAGCAGAAAGTAGGTAAAAATAGCTACTTTAGGTAGCTTTAAATACCTAGGTAGCTATTAATAGCTACGTTGGTAGAAATAGTCTTTGGACTGGACCTGGTGCTAGTGCATGAATAGAGCATTCTACTAGATTGGGCTAGAGGATAAACCTTTTACAGCCTTTAATTCAATTGCTAGAGCACTGGACTGACATGCCAAAGGCCCTGGGTTCAATCCCAGGCAGGGACATTTGCATGTCTCTGTTACAGTTAGGCTTTAATAAAACAACACTTATCTTTACTTTGGGGGGCTTCAGTTGGTTTCATACGCAAGTGACAAACTTGCCAGTCCACTTAACTATACTTTGAAACTAAGCATAACTTAAAGTAATGAATGGATAGGTTCAAGCAATGAATTATGTTCAAAAATAGCATTTACATTGTTCATGAGGTAGTTGTAAAGTTGGTCAACACTCGATCAAAGTGGTAAGGGGTAAATATGGTATATTATCTACGGGGACAGACGCAAAATGTTTTATTTTTATTCTAAATTATTCGCCATAAAAATAGTACCATTCTCTGCTCCGTTCCAGCAATCGTTCAATAACTAATTAGATTCAGGCTTGTGAAATCTCAAACAATGGAGTATGGATTCCAAGCATGCGCAGTGTGCGGCCAAATACAAACCGCGTCATGCTGCCTTAAATTTTTATAAAATACGTTTAATGCGAGAAACTTTCTTATAAATGATGCCAGCATTATAAAATTTGAATATATTTAAACGAAAATATATTGGTTGAATAGATATTCATGGATGCAATGATTTAAAATAAAACATCACTCCATGATAAAAAGCACGCGGTCCTCACCGTTCATCGTCGTCCTCAAGTTTACCACCTTCCCCGCCGCCTCCGGCATTGTAATTTGTTTCTTGTCCTTCCATAGGTTCTGCATTCTGTTGTTGCTGCTCAAACTGTTCAAATCCCCCTTCACCATTTGCCTGTTGATCGTATGTGTAGTCTTGCTGTTCCGCCATTGTGTGCAGTCCTCCCGAATTCAACAAAATGGCCGCACGCTTGCGGTATTAGTCACGTGTTTAAATTTCGATTTTGTATTGGTTCCTTTAATTAGCAGCGACATCTATAGGGGGTCGGCAGCTTGGAGGGATAACTATGATTTTATCGTGCACCTCGGACTGAAAGGAATATAGAGTAGAATTTGATTATTATTCCAAATCAGTGCCCTTTCGGGCATATTACATAAATTATATAAATTATATGATTATTAAACAGAACACACAATGATTATTTACACAATGTGATATTATTTTAGTTATATTCAGCATATTCTTGAATTTTTACATATTGTTCATGAATAAGTTGAGATATTTTGATATTAACACTGGCGGATTTAGAGGGGGGCCAGGGGGCCCGCCCCCCCCCTCTTTGTGTCCAAAAAACCCCACAATATTTAATAAATCAATGTTTTTGGGTGTGGTTGTGGGCCCCTTCCCTGACCAAAAACTGGTCGGGCCCCCCCTTTTCAAAATTTCTGGATCCGCCACTGTTTAATGTAATATTTAAATGCTTAAATTAAGTCACCATGTTTGCATACTCATTTGACCAAACTAATATTTATTGAATGTTTAAAGTGTACACTTTTTTCTTTAATTTCTTTATATATACATGTATTTTTCTTAAATAGTATATATAAAGGATAGTACCGAGATGCGTTCTCAACGAAAAAAAAAAAAGGATGAAAAAAAAAAAACCAAGAATTGATGAATTAAAATATTGGGTATGATGAAGACTGAGTTTTCTGCATTACCTGCCTTTTCTTTATTGTGTAATAGTGTTCTTAATAGTATTGAAATAGTTGAGCAGGACATTATTGATATAATTTCTATTCTCCCTGTGAACAAGGCCATAGGACCTGACAATATCAGTCATAAAATGTTAAAAGCTACCATTTTTAGCATCTCTTTTCCTTTGTGTATTTTGTTTAACAGATCTTTAAGGGAATGTGTATTTCCTAAACAGTGGAAGGTAGCTAATGTACTTCCTTTATTTAAAAAAGGTGACCCATCATTATTATCAAATTATAGACCTGTGTCATTATTAAGCTGCGTAGGTAAAATTATGGAGCGAGTTATTTTCAAATATGTTTATAATTATTTTCATTCCAACAATCTTTTTTATAAATATCAGGCTGGTTTTTTACCAGGTCATTCAACGGTTTATCAACTTATTGAGACGTATGACTACATAGCTAAAGCTATTGATGAAGGAAAACACTGTTGTATGGTTTTTTGTGATTTGTCTAAGGCATTTGATCGGGTGTGGCATAAAGGTCTTCTTTTTAAGCTACAAACATATGGTGTTAGTGATAAGTTATTATTATGGTTTCAAAGTTATTTAGATTTAAGGACACAAAGAGTATTGCATAGGAATACTATGTCTAGTTTTAAATCTTTACATGCTGGAGTCCCCCAGGGGTCAGTATTGGGACCACTTTTATTCTTGATATATGTCAATGATGTTGCTGAAAATTTGTCGACCTTAAGCAGATTGTATGCTGATGATAATTCTTTACAGAAATGTTCAGAAAATGTACATGATATTCAATTAGGATTGAATAATGATTTAAATCAACTTGAGCTGTGGTCTACACAGTGGCTATTGCAATTTAATCCAATGAAAACCAAAGCTGTATTTTTTAGTACTAAGAAAAATGTAGATTTACCATTGCTCAAATTTCAAGATTGTGAATTAGATTTTGTATCATCGCATAATCACTTAGGTAATCTCTTTTCAAACGACCTCACTTGGTCAGCGTACATTGATTCTATCGTGGCCAATGCATATAAAAAATTAGGTCTACTGAAAAAACTGCAATTCAGGGTCAGTGCAAAAACTTTATCTCTTTTATATACTACTTTTATAAGACCTCAGTTAGAATATGCAACTGAAGTTTGGTGTGGGTGTTCTAGTCAAGATTCCGAAAAATTAGAAAAATTACAACTTGCAGCGGCAAGAATAGTCACTGGTTTAACTTCATTAGCATCGCGAGATTCTCTCTATTTTGAAACTGGTTGGGAACCACTTGCTGTAAGACGAATGTCCAAAGTAAGAACAACTATGTATAAAATATATTATAACATGGTACCCGAGTATCTGAAAGAAATATTTCCAAATATCCGATCACACGAATCAAATTACGTAACAAGACAGTCACAAAATTATTGCATCCCTAAGTGTAGATTAAATATATATAAATCATCATTTGTTCCAATGGCAATAAGGGAGTGGAACTCTTTGTCTCTTGAAACAAGACAATCTACTACTATAGGTTCCTTCAAAAATTGTGTAAACTCTCAGAGAACACCTACCCCGTCCTTTTTTAATTTTGGTGATCGTTACTGGAGTGTAATTCATACTAGATTAAGACATAATTGTATTCTAAATAAAGACTTATTTAGGTGTAATATAATTGACAGTCCATTATGCACTTGTGGAAAAACAGAAGACGCATATCATTTCTTTTTCTCTTGTACGAAATACACTGTCCCAAGAAACGACCTGTTCAATGCTATTTTCAGAATGATTAATTTACGTATTGTAGACACTCATGTTCTGTTATGGGGAGATAATTCGATCAGTATTTCTGAAAATGAAAGTTTATTTTTAAATGTGCAATTGTTTATCAAGAGATCTGGTCGTTTTTGAGTATTTTGATTCTTTTGTACATACTACATCAATTTAAATTCTGTACATGCATTACCTATGTTAAACAATCTCATTGACCTTTGGTTCCAGTGTAATTTAATTTTTTGAACAATATTTTGTGTAATTAATTGTTATAAAGGAGAGGACGTTCTAAGTATTAAGTACTTGTGTCCAATCCTTTTGTTGTAACATCATAACAATAAAATATGTTCAAACCAAGACTGAGTGCCAATATTACATTTACAAGTAAATTTGGGGTTTCATTATACAATTAGAACCAGATATCATAGAACTTTGCCTGGGCAAGATACATGTACAAGGTTAGCTTTTTAAAAAAAAAGCTGAGTGTCAGCCACTGGAATACAGAAAGTTTTTTTCTTGTTTTGTAAAGGTTTATGATTTGATCTATTCATCATGTTGTGTTCCTTAAATGTAATAAATGCCATGGAAAGAAAAGTTAAATTTTTGTAATCGTTTTCTTATTTGTAATATAATGCTGTACATAATAATTATAAAGCATAGATTTTTTTTTTAATTCTGCATCCTGATCATTACAATGATCTCCAATAAATTCTCTTCGGTGCAGACATCAGAGAAAGTTCATCTTATACAAATTCACCATGGCAACTGAAATCACGTTAAAGTCTATAAAAATTATATAGATTATGATGAGTAAAAGGAAGGTAGACTTTGTGTTAGATTGTTTTTAAATATTAACAGTTTTCATTTTTGCATTTCGAGGCAATGCATGATGTGGAGGGGGGGGGGCATACTGATGTATATTTAATTCAACTTTTAAGTTTGAGCATCCATTTTAGTGTTTTTAGGAAAGAAAAGAATTGCTTCCAAAAAAGGAATGAACGTCACGGAAAACAATTTAAAATGGAAAATCAAAATATGTTTATACATGCAGTACGTATACATGTACACAAAATATCTTTGATGATGTCTACCATCATAGCAAACCTTTAGATTAAAAAACAGGAATCCATCTCCCCCCTCTCTCCTTTCATTGGGGGGGGGGGGGGGGTTGACCCTGTCTATAAATCAGCACAGTTCTCTCAGCTATCCCATTTTCACTGTGGTCAATTTCTCGCATGTAGGCGCGGTTCACGTGCACAAGCGGTACTTACACGTCTATCATCATGTAAATTATAAGAATTTACTGTCTTACAGTGGTCTTCTAATGTTTTCATAACTTCAATCATTAGAGTGAAAAGAAATTGATCTTTCTTTTTTCACTTTTTTGGGACCTTTGTGGCAAGTGTATTGTTGTGTGAATTCCGACCCGTACATGTCTTATGCAAGGTATTGAATATTGATCGAGGGAGTCTTGCATCAGGCATCCAGAGGAATACACAATTTAAATCTTCGGCTTGCATGCAATGGCGATTGAGGGAATAAATGTGCTTATCTTCTATTAGAAGCAAGGAAATATTTTCATAGTATCTGACCAGTTTATTAACATCTCTTTTGTTGTTATTTAACAACATAGAGATCAATACATATCAATATAACATATATACATACATGCGTGAGCGTAACATATAACATATATATGACAAATATCCCATCTAGAGGCTGAACGGTCTATGTCATTAATTTTCGTCGAGAACGACGAAGAACAATGCGGTCTATAAATAGATCGAGGTCGTGAGTGTGCGTGAAGAAGCACGCCCTCTGGTTGGAGAAAATTGTGCAAATCTTTTTCCCAGAATTCCGATTAACGCAAGCGCACTTGCAGTTTCATCCTAACGTAACTAGTCAGCCCGGGGGCTGACTAATAAATAACATGTATAAATAACAACCGTCGCGAAAAAGCAATGTCCCAATGAGCTTTAGCCTTAGTTTATTTAGTCATTTTATTATGTACATGCATGTATGCATTTTATAATCGAAACTGATTTTTTTAAAAATAGATGTTCTTGTTCATACCAACTTAAATTAAAAGAATAAATAATTAGAAAAATGATGATGTGTCAATTTTTAGTGTACATCTTTTCGCGCGCGGTGTTGAAAATTTTAAAGAGCTAAAGTCTCGACCCTGAAGGAAATTTCTGAAGAACTTTATTGGCAAATTTATGCAGTTTATACATTGTATCTTATAAGATGTGTATGCATGGTATGGAAAACGCAATAAAAAGAGAATGGATCCTAGCGTATCGGGTGGGGGTGGGGGTATGAAAACTAGAATGCTTGACGCTGCAATTGCAAAATAATGACCATTTATTTTTTAAGGGAAACGAATATATGACATACATATATCCATTTATATAGCAAATGAAGAAATATCCGACACAATGTTTATTGCCCCTTTAAGCTCATTTGTTCATAATTTTAGTGTTTTCCATAAGAACCGGCTACCGGCCAA